ACCCATACTGGCCAGCCAAAAAAAAAAAAAAAAAATCAGAGTCTGTGGCTCCACCCCAGACCTACTGAGTCAGATCTGCATTGTAACAAGATCCCCAGATAGAGAAACACTGGTGCATGGGTTATAGAGGAGATATGGATATGGAAATCCATATATGGAGATATATAAAGAGAAAGAATTTTTTTAAGAGTTAGCTTTAGCTGAGCTATTCTGACCTACCCATTAGGCTTGAAGACACACACACACACACACATCAAGCCAGGTGAAGATGGGGATGTTTCAAGTTCTTATCTTCAGGTTATTTGTGGGTTTTGTATGTAATCCTGTTTATGTTTTTGTTTTTGCTTTTTTTATTATTAAGAAATAGTAGGAATTTATGGATGCTATCACAACAAGGGTATTATGCACAAATCAAAAAATGGAGGTTTCCCCCACATGGGGCTAGCTGGCAATTGGCAAAAACACTGCAAAATGCAATAATTGCACAAAACCCACTATGCCAAATTAGATAGTACACAAAGTTCATTTACACTGTAGAACCACTGACGTTAGTGACTGTTTGCTCTGTGATACCATTTCAAACATCCAAAATGCAGTCATTTTCTCTGTGCCATGTAGGACACAGCTGTATATGATATGGTCACAGTAATATTTCTTTCTCAAAGTAGCAGGCTTGTTAAACTCAAAGCAAAAGCTAAACAACACATCTGGAGAAAAGGGCAGGTGGCCAGCAGTGGATGTGGTAGCTCCTTGCCCCTCTTGGAGAGCAAAATTAGCTTCCACAGGCATTTTCTGTATGGGAGCTGTATTGTATTGTAGATGTACAGGCATCATCTGTCTTTAGAGTTTCTGGGCCAATAGCTCTCTTTCAGGGTTAACACGTGGGGTTCTAGCAGGCAAAGTCCACTCTTTCCATGGAAGGGAACAGCCCATCCCACTAGCTCTCACAGTCATGTTTCTGGAGGAGGCTCTTTTATTTGAGTGGAAAATTCCCAAAGAAACCTTCCCATAAGATACTATGCCCACAGCTGTTAAGTGGCCTGTCTGTAGAGAAGCCCTTTTGTGTACAAACAGAAACCTAAAGCTTGATAGAGGGGCTGCCTCTCATCTACAGTCCCATCTTGGAAGAGTTCCCATGAAATCATTGGTTTCCTGGGGCATAATAATCATCAGTAATCATTCAAAATAGGCACACTAACTTTTAAAAATTCCAAAATGCAAGCGTATATGGTAAATTAGGTTCAGTGGTACAGTAAGTGAGAGATGGGCTTGGGGTGAAACGATACTTTTCTTCTAAGAGAATAAAACTCTCAAGATTCTTTTGTCTTGTGTGTAGGGTCATTTGAATTTATTTATGTCATTTTCAGGACTCCGTGTGTGAAATCAAAGAGAAGACTTCTGGTTTCTTATTCTCTCTTTGCTTAACTGACCATTTATACTGCTAGGTTGATAAAGGGACTTGCCTTTTTCTGCTGATGTCAGAACCAAAAATATTAAGCATTTTTAAAAGGCAATGGAAAATTCAACCACATGGGGGCCAGTTGAAATGGTCACCAGTGAGTCTGCTTTGTTCTGGAAAGTTTTGATGAGGAGTGAATCTAATCTGATTTCCCTCTTCATCAGATATTCCTCTTTACCAAAAAATAAAAAAGGAGGTGGCATGTTGAACCCTTGTCCTCAGCAGTCAGTAGCTCTTGGGTGGAGGCACTGCTGTGGACGGGCACTGGAGTACTGCATGCTTAGCAGAGAACCAGGTCTCACACAATGCATCACTCCTTTCTTGCTCCTTTTAGAAACTATTTACTTCTGCAACTGTAACTCATTTTTAGAGTGCCCGAGGGGCTCAGTCACTACTCTAAAGAAAGTGTTAACTGTATTGCTTATGTTCTTTCTTTCCAAAATATGAATTTGATATTCAGTAAAATTGTAGGCACAACTTTTTAAAAATAAGTATTGAGGATATTTTCATGTAAAACTACTTTTCCTTTTTCTTTTTTATTTCCTATGAGAAAATGCTATTTTACTGTAGTAATGTTTTGAGTAGAACATTAGGCTTTTTTCTCTGGAAATTAGAAAGCAATGGGGATAATATAAAAGTTTCTTTCAGCCAAGACCTTCATTTTGTTCTTGACATGTAGAGAAATGGTTATTTTCCAGGCTTAGCTCTAGAGCTTCTATACTATGTTTAAGAAGATACTTTAAGAAATACAGCATGTGTTTATGGCTTCCTTTGAAATAGCAGCAGTAGTTTTAAGAAAAATATCCCACAAGTAGTCAGAGCAGTTCCACAAAAGTGTCTCATCGACATGTGAATGTTTTTCAGCTTTACAGAAAAGTCAGTAGCTGGGGGCTCAGAGAGATCACCGGGGTTTATAGAGAAGGTGGGGAACCCTGCCTTGCTAGGACTTCACCTATCAGGAGGTTCACACTGCCCCTTCTAACTCTGTCAGCAGGAAATCACGGATGTAGAATAGCACCTCTGTTTATCTAGAATCAGATGTTCACAAGAATCACTCAAAATAGACATCTTGAATTATCTGAAGCAGGGTAGAGATGGAGAAGGGGGCAGGTTGCCATGCCACCTAACCAATGTTTAGTCATTGAGGTTTTAACTATAAAAGGGCCGAGGTTAATTGCAACTTCCTATTTTACCAACTCTTAAAATTGAATAGAAAGCTGTTCTGTCACAGCTACACGTTTATGCAAGTCAAGATATCACCATTAATTTCTACAGTTGAGTTTTAGAATTGCCTTTTAAAAGATGGAACAAGGCACACTCTAGAGAGCTAGTGGTACCCTTGCCTGTCGGTCACACCTGCCACTTAGAGATGGCTTCAGGCAACCCAAGCGAGTAATTTTAAGAATCTGACTCCTGATTTACCAAACATGATGAACTACATTTAAGGCAACGTAGCTTTCTCCTTTCAGGGAAAATAGAGAGGGAGTGATATGTGCTGGTGCAGAAAACTGTCAAACCTAGATAAATGAAGAGGCTAGTTTTGTTGTTCTTGTGTGCGTTGGTTGCCATAAATCTAGGCATAAGATTTAACTCTTTAATTGGACTAGTTGTGATATATTTTGGCGTGGGTGAGACCTTTTGTATGCATTATTCTGTTCTGACAGCAATCCTGTTGATAGAGAAACTGAACCCCAGAGGTTAAAAATTGCTCAACATCTCCAAGATCATATGTAATTAACTTGGACTCAAACCCAGCCCTTTCTGCCTGCAAAGTCAGTAAAGGGTGGGGGGTGAGGGTGGGTGGCATGTTTTCCTGGGCTTGTACTCTTGCGTCAAGGACTGATTAGCTACAGGGCTGACCAGTGTTGAGAAGAATCCCAGTCACCAAAGGAGAGATAGGAGAATGTTGGGCTAGCCACTCATTTGGTATTGAATGTGTTCTGTTATGATTAGATGTTGGTAATAACAATAATAATTTTGGGACCAGGCTCTATGGCAAGCTCCTTAAAAAACTGTTTCCTTTTGGTACATGTACATTTTTTAAAGATGGGTAGGAAAGAAAACAACGCAAAATAATGAGTCTCTAAGCATGAGTGAAAGAGGGACATGTGGGCAGGGAAAGGGCTTCCCAACCCTTCTTTGTTTACGTTATTGGGGCCACTGCCTGGCCTTCCTACATGGGACAGTCTCTCTTGTGAGGCCCACTGGGACAGAAGCCTTCTGTGATATTGTGAAATATATATATTTGGTCTTCATTCCTGTCCTCTCCTGGCGCTCAACTCTTAAAATCCTTAGAATCTGGAAAGTGTGGTGTCTTTTCATAGGCTAACGAGTTGACTGATGGCTGGCAGTCCCTAGGTAGGTTCAGAATTGGGGCTGAGGCTGGCGCAGAAAAGACCAAAGCAGTATGAGAGGGTTGGGACTTTCTACACACACACACACCCCCAACCAGGGAGGGCAGAGGGGCTGAAGTTTGAATTGATCTCCAGTGGCCAATGACAGGATTCAGAGAGCTTCTGGATAGCTGAACATGTGGAAGTTTCTGAAGAGTGGCTTGCCCAGAGAGGGCATGGAAGCTCCATGCCCCTTCCCCATACCTAACCCTATGCATTTCTTCATCTGCATCCTTTGTAATACTCTTTTATAATAATCCAGTAAACGTTAAGTACATGTTTCCCCGAGTTCTTTGACCCACTCAGCAAATCGACAGAACCCAAGGAGGAGGCTGTAGGAACCCCAAGTTATAGCTGGTTGGTCAGAAATTCCAGAGGCCTGTGTTTGTGAATATCATCTGAAGTTGGGGGCAGTTTTTGGACTTAGCCCTCTGGGATCTGACACTATCTCCAGGTAAATAATGTTGCAATTAAATTGATTTAGAAGACACCCCGCTGGTGTCCACTGGAGAACTACTTGCTTGCTAGTGGGGAGAAATCCCCACACTTTTGGTCACAGAAGTCAGAAGTCTTCTGTGTCAATTGTTGCTGAGTAAAGCGAGAAAAACACACAGTTTGTGTGTGT